CATTTTTGCGAAGTGAGATTTAAACAATTTTAATATTCACCACGCTATCTATAAGAGAACTTATAATTTGCAATTTAATATACATTGATATCTTCCGTTGCCTCATGCTCCTAGGCCAATTTCGTATAATGTTTCATGGCTCGGTACTTTATCTTTCCCAAGCATGTTGATGTATGAATATACATGTACATTGTATATATTTTTCACGGAAGCATTTGTAAAAAGTATTATTGATTGAGAACTACCAAGTTTGATGGCCACTGGATCAAATGTCCGAGTAACAGTACCAGTAAAACATGATATCCTAGATGTAGAAAACTTTTACATTATTTCACAATAAATATAATATAAAATACATTGTTCATGCCATAGGAGAGGGCTTGTATAGGCATTACGCCTATTGCCCAATTCCTTTTGAATTTTTATAAGATGCAATGTTCAATAATTGTTTTGTGAAATGAAAACATCAATACTGTAACACACATGTGTGTCGGTAACAGTTTTAATGTTACACCACACACTTCATTGATATTTACGATTTTTCAGTATCACAACATTCAACACCCCTTTTCTCAAATTACAAGTAACCATGAATACGACAATTTAAACAATACGGGAAATTGTATTTCTTTAACACACAGTTTGTACAAGTACAAACTGCTCATTAATTTACAATAATGCAGCTCTTAAACATAGAACGATATACTCTTAACCGAACTACACCGCAATAACCATTACAAGATGCAATATATGTGTGATACAGGAAAGATCAAAATGTCGTTTGAATCGCTCCGAGGGGAGCATTGCAGGTAATATAATTATTCCGTTTTGAACTTTGGGATGAATGCTAGTTAAATTCATCGTATTGAAAGTTAAGACTGGGCGTATATGAATAGTTGGTATGACTTAGAGAGTCCAATGGTATTTAAGGCCACCGATAGGCTTAGCAAAGACATAAATCAAACCACCTACTTCTCTATATGCTTCATCGAAATTTGAGTGTAATGTTTATTAATAATTTGAATATAATGGAATTTAAGAAACGCTAACGAAAGATTCTTTATCTGTGATTTTGTTTGATTTTTGCATAGAAAATAATTGTGCATTATAATTGTCCAAATTATAAAAAAAAGTTTAATTAAGTTCTCCAGAAGAAAAATTGTATGAACTCGTAAAATGTCAATAAAAGCTTATTATGTTTTCCTTTCTATATTGTGGTATAGAAATATGCAGCCTACATGTAACCTGAAGCATATTATTGTATATAAAACAGTAACAATAGTCCATGTCAAATCACAAATGCATCAGTGCATACTTGTATTCGTGATGAATCGGAAGCCAGGTCAGGTCTTGTTCTCATGTAAACCTGCTAAGTTGGTCACCATGTGTGAACTGTTCTGGTAAATACAAATGTAGTTCTTTTGAATATACAGCGATGCATTTATAAAATATCTCTGGCACACAAAAAGTGTTGCATTATATTTATTCTAAAGAGTTAATTGATGAAATCCATACATGACAGTTCAAAACCATCCATGGTTACAAAATATTTAACTCATCTACTTTCCGGGAATGACGCTGTATGTTTTTAGTAGCTTTTGATATATATTTGTTTGCTTTTGCAAGCATGATTAAAATATGATTTATCTGTTGTACAAGGTAATCTATTTTCCATTTTGTGATTTCTATCTACGGTTTACAACTGCATACACGTATCAGAAAATACCGCATACAAAACAGCTAGGATAAACGACAACGGGGACGAGATTGAACAAGGCATTGACTTTTTCACCACTGATAGCGCATGAATTAAAGCTCGGCGATTGCCCACGAGTGCATGCTTCCACCGAGTAAAAGCCCTAGGGAAGAGGATGTAGATGTACGCTGGGCTGGGTCATCATCCCCGGTTATTAGAGCCCTGTTCCTTAAGTGTTGCATGGCAAACTACCGTGTGTGGATATAAATTGGCATCTCCCGAACGAATCGTGTTACCGCGGACAGCGTTTACCTACACAATAATTGAGGCTAACGGTATTAAAGGATGGGAAATAGTAAACACGACATACTAACAGAAACGCACTTTTTACACTTAATTACAAAAGTATAGTTGTCGCGCATAGAAGGTAATACTACCTTTATATCAGGAGTCCAGATCAGCAATACATGAAGAATCTTACATAAATATAGAAATAGCACACATGCGATGAATCAAATTACTTCGTACGGATTGGAATAGCCACCCTTGAAAATAGTCCAAAAGACATACAGCTGTGATTTTTTAAAATATTGCTCGCGGAAAGTGTAAGGTTCACATCCAAGATACCAATATTACAATTCAACATTTACTGTTATAGTTTCCTGTTAAGCGCACGACTGACACTTTAGTTCGGTTGTTCTTTAATATAGTATATATTTATAAGACTTCAATAAAGCTAGACAAACAAAATTATTTTCTAGTCTGAAAGTACAATAATGATTGAATTTATTCATTTCTTGCGTGGGATTGATATATTTTTAAACGCCGAAAATTAAGTATGCTGAACGCCAAGCAGCTGAATAACACTTCATTTTACCAGGTTGTACTGCTGTTGTCTCGTACTAGTATTGTTTATGTAATGAGACAGAGTATGGTAATAGTCTCAATAAATACTCACAGACGTTTTGTTTTATTTGGTATGACATTTGCTAAACTTACAGTTGGATTACTTCAAATAACCATCATGTCTAGGAAGCTAAAATCGAACTCCTTATCTTTCATTTAAATATGTCCTTATACTGTACTTGGCAACGTTCATGCTTGTGCAGTTCAACGATTATATATATAGGTATCCTTTATACACGCTCAGAACATTTAAAACCTTTTCTCACACTGGTCGTAAGGCGATTCATTAATACCATGTACATAGACTGGAAGAGAGGTGGGATATGCTAACCATGTGTGCTATTTTCTTGTTTAAACACTGGAAATATTGGGCGATCAGAGGAGAGACATGACGCTGTTCTTGTCAACTGTGTGTGTGTGTGTTACGTTCAACGCTCAAGATACAGGAGGTGGAATCTGCTGGTGAATTTGTTAGTTCCTGAGGTTGGACGATGCCTTCATGGCTACAGTTATCTCTTTTGAGTAGGGACATGGTTCATTATATACACACTATACTATTTATATAATTTGAAATTAACCAGTACATCTCTAAATTCTGAAATATATAAATAAAGGGGTTTTACACATCTCCCCATCTGATTCAAGAATACTTAAGACCAATTTGAATTTCCAACTTTGTGGCCCTAGCAATACTCATAGAAGGACGAAACAGCTGAATGATGTAGGGTAATGTATATTTGGCATGCTCTATCTATTACTAAATTCTAATAGGCACATGTGTGTGTTACGTTCATCTTTGAAATAGTATATTGTTTAATGTTTGTTAATATATTACCAATATGTCACGTTAGAATGATCAAAAAAATTTAACGCGTAAGAGCTATGTCGTTTTAGGATTCACCTCTATTTGTTCAATATATAAATCAGCAGGATATATTAGTGTATTTCCCTTTCTACAATAACACGAATCTGATAGCGACTTTTGAGTGCTACCTCACTTTTCTACCTTGCCAAAAGGACCTTGCACTGTAGTCCATCCGGTCACGTTATACTGACAACAAGTAATACTATTTTTTGAGGATTCAGATACGTCCCGACCTTGGGACATAGCCTATTCCCTTCATATTGCTATAAATTATGTTATTAAGCTAAAAGTGGATAAGAAAGCGTTAAAATAAAATTAATACAAGTAAAGGTAGGATATGAACACATATAATTCCAACTGTCGCATGTGTACAGTACGAGTTTAACACATTTATATCACCAAAGTGCCATTATTAATAATCACTTGTCATGTGCAGCATATCATGCATTGTCACATTAAAACAATCCCTGGTCTAAAGTAATGGATGAAACATTAAATTTTCTTATTTCTCGACCTTGACCAATCTAGTTTCGTTGTTCTCAATTATCAAAGCTGTCGCATGCCCCCTCCCTCCGACTACATACAAGTAAAATAAAATAAAACATTTCGCCTAAGAGTGGTGAAATAGCGAAAGGCGTTGTAATAGGCCATGTGAATTTAATTATCTTTATAAATATATTTCGCTATTCATTCCTCGTTCGAAAGACCGTTGTCAGACACAGGCGTATGACTGACAGCGGACATTAACACGTTTAAAAGCGTACCAGGTTCCGGTCTTTCTGCTCAACGATACACATTAACAGATCAATGTGTTTACCAATACCAGTTGTATAGTTTACCTCTACGTAGAAGATCAGTGGACGTATTTATTTTTAGCTGATTAAACACGTAAGCAACGTACCTGTGCGTAAGTCATTAACTGATGAGTATGGTGTTGACCATGAATAACACGGGGACATTACGTTAATTGTTCATACTGCTACAGCCTCTTTCTCCTATCGCTAGTCACTTCTGGTTGATAATCGACCCCAGTAACCAGGTAAATTTGAAGTGTTATGAACATATTGTGGCAGTATAATAGAAACATTAACTACACCCTCTACGGCAGGAAGTTCCACTTTCAAAAGTTGTCACAATACATGTGTATCATATAGAGCATACATTCATGAGTTTCCTGCCTTTTGTTCTTTATCAGACTGAATTGTTTACGTAGTAGTCTATTCCTGCAGCGTTGGAGATATGCGACGATAAAAATCCTGATCAAAAGATTACTGTTGTTGTTTTTATTCAAGTCCATAGCGGCGTTTTCATTTCTATGTGAACGGATTAACTCGTGTTATGGTATACATTTTGTATTAGTTTGCCATAGTAGCATATTATTTCAAATATAGCATATTTTTTGTTTATGTTCGCTCTAATTATTCTAATAGTTGGGCAATTCAAACAACTGTGTATTGCCTGCAAAATGTATATTATGAAATTAAGTTCGGAAAAATACAAGAAAAGAAAGTCAGATGAACAGAATATACATACCTGGTAAGGTCAAGTGTGGTTTGAAGAGAATTCGTCGGTTAATAACCGGTTTTATAGTTGAACAATGTCAAGGAACAGCGTTGCGACATATCTTACTCACATGGGTTCAAAGTCAAGAACAATTTCCCAGTTTGTTGTATTGTCATCAAATAGGATTTTACACATGTTCGATTCAACGGTAAATGATAACGCAGTTCCTTGCTATGTTTTAACGTGATTTGAATATGTTCTCTTTCGGGACGATGTAACACAATATTGCATTTGCAAAAACAATGTTTACGTAATATTACGAAAAACTCGTCAACAAAAAAGACAATCATACAAAGCCAGTTTAACACTCATAAATGACTATGTTATTCTCATGATCTGTTATATTATAAGGTTACGAGATTTGGAAAAAAGACTACTAACAATACAGCTTCTATTGGTTGAATCCTGTTTTGTGTGAACTATAAAATCACATTGTCAATGCACACATAGAAGTATTTGACATCCGTAAGGAAAATATGACACTGTTCTCTTAAGATATGCGTCTCAGGACATGGAAATGAAAATAACGGCATATGTTCTGTTATCCGTAGTAAGTGTCTCCTTGCACAAATACATCATAAAAGCGTGTGTAGGAAATAGGTAATTTATAGCCAAACAACACGACCGTTCATAACATGAAAGATCAAACGACTTGTGTAATATAATATTACAATGTAAGTAACAGGTAAATCAATCCAATGATTCAATCCACAACACTCAATCAATCGATCTAATTTGTTTCTTCATCCAAAAGTATGGCCGTTGAGTTCAGTTACCTATTACTTTAAAGATACATTAGCAAATATTTCAGATTAATGCTTCATTTTCTTTAAAGATCTCCAACCTTCCCCTTTCGCTGGCCTACACTAAACTCAGACTATGTTGCTACTGGCAGTGGTTATATATCTAAGGTTGGACGGCGCTGCTCTCTGCGAGTAGACATTTCAGCAGCTATCGGGTGACGGTGTGATGGTAGGCCTGCTACTGCATCTGCTGTAGCGATAACGCTTGTCCGTCTCATCGGTGACCGCGTGCTTGCTGACTAGCCACTAAGGAAGCACAGAAATACTTAGGTCTTTCTTGTGCTATTTGTAACTCTGCCCTGTGCTATGTGTAACTCAGAGTAATTTAAGGTCCGATCATATCGGATCAGTGATGTGTGTGGTGTATAGTTTTGAAGAAGTATAATTTCTGTCGTTCACTAATAAAAGTCTAACTTTCTTCAAATTAACAAACTGATATGGGCGGATAATAATGTTCGAGTAACCTTTTTATATTAACAAAATGTTAGCTTGTAGGTTGTCAAAAGTGTAAAACATGTACATTAAGATTCATAAATCATGGAATATTCTGTCTTCAGAAAAAGGTAGTATTTTATAAGCTTATCAAGTAATGTAATAGCTGGACAGGTTTTAATCCATCGGCAGTTTTTATATATGAAGATATATATGTATTTTGCTTTTATTTGATTCAATGTATACCAAGCTTTAAAGAGATCCGTTGAAAAATGTAGGAGGAGATTGCCGGACAAAAATAAAATACTGAAATAAACAAAGGGTAATTACTTTTGCAATAATTGTTGAATCAAAATTCTTTTCAGGTAAACACAACAACATTTCATGATTATAATGTATACCAAGTTTCAAAGAGATCGGTCGAAAAATGTAGGAGAAGATTGCCGGACGAACAAAAGTTTACGCCGGCCGGCCGCCGGACGACCTCATACCATAATACTTCCGTCAAATTTGACGGGCGTATAAAAGTGTATTTAAGTTTGTGTACAAATCAGATCCTGTTGACACTTTGATATCTTGCTGTTTACTTGAGATACCCATGAATTGAGGAAACTATGCACACTTTTTTCTAAGTATAAGTTAATATTTGACATATTGATGCATGCTTCCTGATCCAAACAACCAAAATCATGGTCTGAATTTGAGCGACGTTAAAGTACTAGTTAAATGTTAACATAACACTTGCAAAACAGAAAGTTTTCTGGAAGGCCAGCTGTTTTTCAATTAGTAAATTTGGTGCAAAATATTTTGTTTATGTCATGAAAGGAATTTAGAAGTGCTAACCAAAAGTTGTTTTCTATTTTAAGCAATTGAGTATTTCTTATACGATATTTGATTGACTTTCTTCAATAATTACAGTATTCTACTACCTGTAGTAAGAACACCTCTTATCACTCTGATGGTGCCGTCAGTATATGGGTATACTGTGATAATTATGATGAAGAGTATATCTTGAAAATTGGTATATTGTGAAGTAGCTATTTGGGTTTACTGGTAAGTTGATTTTGGTTAAGCAAAGAGCAAATAGTCCGAACAAGAAATACAACATTCTAAACAATCTCGATACAGAAAAATGAACCACGACGGACCATAGAACAAACGTTTAATACAGTGGTCCGTTACCAACGTTGTCCAGAAGTGATCAATATCGTACAAACAACGTGTACAGAATGTAACATGACTGTTTCATAGAACGTAGTCTTCTTATTATATCATGTAACACAGTGTAATCTACGAGTTTTCCCTCACGCATGCCCTTTAATGAAAATTAGATTTGATACTTGCTTTCTCAAAATCGCAACAATACATGCCATTAAACCTTAACGATTTATATGTTTTAAAAGCCTTTGTTGTAAAATTGTGATAGCATGCCTTATCGTACTGATTAATTGAACGTTAATAATTAGAAAAACAAACAATCATAGTTGCTACATCATAAAATGTTCATGTGTTTGTTTATGACCGGCGCATTCGATCATATATAATTCCACTGTAAAAGGTGATGGAAAGCGTGACAACAAGGTTGATCTACAATTCGTATAGGCATGTGTGATGTAGGTTAATGTATAGCCTTTATTTATTAACGAGAGGACATCATTCCCTCTGCGGCCTGCTCTACTTGTTTCACATGAACAAACACTGTGTCTAATTACACTAAAAATTAACAGACAACAAATCAACCAATGCAAAATGAATTCCCCGTGGTTTGGTTTGATTTATATGGTCGTATAAGGATGTGCCTGCACGTGTAAGGTATTCGTTTGTGTTGGAGGCGGTTTTCCCTACGGTGTGTACGTTGTGACGGCAGTATGAAATGTATTATGCAGCATGCTATATCAATACCCACAACACCATTTATATAGCTTGTGGCATTGTCCTTTGCTTTTAGATCCCATGTGATGTACACACTGTAGTAACATCAATGCGTTGACGACTTTTAGCGGTTTTTTCTTCAGTTTGTTACGCTCTATAGATATAATAAGGACAAGGATGTCTGTTTCGTGATGTGAAAACATCGGGTTAATTAGCCCTCACAACTTTTAGGGACTTGGGTACTTCGTAACCCATATCTTCCTCACATTTAGAAAAACTCACACATCAAAGCCAAAGGCGATTATTGCCAAGTGAGGCGTTAGGAAATGAAATAAAAATAGAAGAAAACAGAAAATAAAATTTGCCGAACGTTGAAATGGGAGCACCAGATTTGTTTGTATCGCTGTTGTGTCCAAATGTAAAAGTCACAAAACGAAACCACCCTTTTTACAGGAGTTTTCCCACAATACTCGTCCTCTATAATCATGCAACGATATTTCCTCTGACATACAAGGATTAATTTACCTTTTCTGATGTAGAAATGTTTAATTAAAAAAAATGTTTTTTCCCCCCCAACGGACAACAAAATCATTTTATTACAATCACCATCAACAAGGCAGCCTGTTCTTGTCCCAGGTTTATCAGAAATGCCACGACTGATGGCGGGACCTTGTAGACGTGGTATATTAACTCACACTGTACGTTTCAAAGCTTCGTGAGATCTGTTTGGCAAATATTGATTCTGGACCCTCGGATAGTATCAGAAATTCTATAATACACAGGAATATTATGTTTATAGCAGGTGAAGTAGTTTTATTGATATTCGCGTTTAGTCAGTAACAGTGTAGTAACCTATCTTAGTCGTCCAGCATAATCTGACAGTATGCAATCAATCATATTAAAACACCAACATAAGCAAGTTTTTTGTTTGTTTTGTTTAGTATTGTTTAACGTCCTATCAACAGCTATAGTCATTTAAGGACGGGCTTACCTGTGTGCAAGATGCATACGTGTAGTGTATGCGTGTGTTTTGGGTGGCTGCGTTATGTTCGTGTTTGTCTCTGTGTTGCATTAAGCTAACATAATACAAACTGAACTTTTGTGACTTTTTTTGTATAAAATATCACCGCATAGAGATTGAGGAATTTTTTAAACCCTTTCTATATGTACGACCGACCACTCCTCTGCAGTTAGCCTTATTGTCATGTATGTGATCAACCATTTACAGTCAAACACTTTATGATTGAATGCGCTGATTTCAAACAATTACGTGACAGATTTTATGATGTACTGTCTATGATAAAATATGATATATTGTGCAGCCAATTTGTTTGATATTAATGTATTTCTGTAATCCTTTACATATTGTAAGCTATGAACTTTTTTACAGTATTGTTAATTTTTAAAATGTATTCACCAAATGGTAGTACTTCCTTATTCATCAAAAATTAATTAAGACACAAAAATATTATTGTAAATGAATTGATCTTTATAATTATGATAGGTATGATAAGATATATGATAAGTATGATTAACTCACAACTTATTAAACTAGCGTTGATTTTTGTTTTTTCAATTTCAACAAGAAATAATCCATGGATCTTTAACAATAACACAACAATGGTATATAAGAATTTAATAAATAAATACTAAAATAGTAACCGAGTAAATGTACAAGTTTGGTTTAATGTCCTATCAACAGCTATGGTCATTTAAGGACGGCCTTCCCTCCCTGTGTGCTAGATGTATGTGTGAAGTGTATGCGTGTGTGTTATGGGAGGATGTGATATGTTCGTGTTTGTCTCCTTGTGATAGCGCGGAGCTGATGCCGACTTCATAGTGCTACCTCAATGAAACATACTGCCAAAACACCCAGCAGGACACCCCACCCGGTCACATTATCCTGACAACGGGCGAACCAGTCGTGCTGAGCGTTGAGCAGGAGTAGAAACTACCATTTTTACAGACTCTGGTATGTCTCGGCAAGGGGACAGAACTCAAAGCCTTCCTCAAAGAGGCGAGCGCTCAACTAAAGGCCAAAAGTGAGGTATTGTCAAGGGAGACAAAGGGATAAAGAAAGTTGTTTTAAAAGAAGATAAAAGATAAGATCCCAAATTTAGTCGCCTCTTACGATCATGCAATTGGGGCAGCATGGACACTTCTTACGCCCTACCTGCAGGAACTCTCGTCCAATCGGCTTATTGGCAAACCAGGTTTTGCTTTCTTCTGCAAACATTTAACATTCAGCTTCGACATATTTTTCAAAACTTGCTACAGGGCAATACCTCAAACCATGTTTTTCCGTCATGAATCCTTACACATTTTCTTTGTCTGTTATGATTTTTTGTTAATTCATTCACATTTTTGACAACATATTTAAGGCGTGTTTTGAAATCTATTCCACTTGAAATGTTGATTTTGTCATTTTATCCATATTCTCTGCGCCTCGATTACAGAAGTATAGCCGAATACCAAATTTCACATTGTTCATTAATCGCTTAGGTGTGTCTGGATTCATGTGAAGATATGGATAGATGCTTGCTCCTGTACTCTTCATTAATTACGGGAATATGTTCGATTCTTGCTTTTCCTGAAACATAATCACAAATGATTGGTGGTAAATTTACTGTGGTAGACATACACAGTTATTAGGCTACAGTTGGCCAATTTTTCAAATACACCGTAATTTTCATAAAATAATAAATATGATGTTACATTCATAAACTTTATCACAAGGACCACTGCAGT